GAGGGGGTCCTGTGGAGGTTCAGGGAAACAGCACCTCCCGGATCCAACCCCCACCGTGAGATCTCTCTTGGCACCAGCGAGCCCTCCAAATATATATATATATAAAGCCCACCACCAAAATGCTTTCGTTGCTTCTAAAGACGAAATCATTTTTTTCCTTCTGCAAAAATGAGGGGCGAAAAGAAAAAAGAAAAAAAAAACTCCAGGAGGTAGAAGGAAGCCAAGGCATCATCCGTATCACTAAAAAGCTGCCCCCCCCCCGAAAAAAAGAGAGAGAGGCAGGCTGCTCTCCGAGATGTTCAGGTTCACAAATGCCACGCGTGGGGAGAGCAACGCAACCAACCCGAGACCCAGCAGCCGGGAAAAAAGGCGGACACACACACACACACAAACACACACACACACGCCCCCCCACACGCACACCCCAAGGTTGGCGTTTGGGGAGGAGACCCTGAAATCTGGAAAAACAGCCACAAAGTCTGGAGAGGGCTGCTTCCATCACCCGCCTCTGTTGCAAACGCTCATCATCCTCTAATAAGCCGTTCTCTCTCATTTTTCTTTCATTTTTTTGCATCGCAACGCAACGCCAACCCGTCTTACCTGCGGTCCCAAGGAAAAGGAGGGTCCCGAGGAGCTCCCGGCTCCGAAGCATGGCTGTCATCTCTCTCTCTCTCTCTCTCTTTCGGCGGGCGAGGAAGTTTTTCCGTGCACGGACAGATTATTGTTTTTTTTTCCTTTCCCGCGAGGAGCTGAGCGGATCGAAAGGCAAGAAATTCAGGTGCAAAAAAAAAAGGCAAAAAAAAAATAGGGAGGGAGGGTCGAGAAGGAAGGGGAAGACACTCAAGGAACAGGGAAAAAAAGGTGGGGGGTGGTCCAAAGATTCCTAGAACGATGTGGGCTTTTTTTTTTTTTTGCAATGATGATGATTTTTTTATTTTAAATATATCTCTCTCTATATATATTAATTGGTCCAGCGGCTTCCCTCTCGCTGCTTTCAGGAGCTGATCAGAGAATGAGTGACAGTCCCAGCCTCAGCACACGCAGGCACCACCAGAGATCCCTGCGCTGCCCTGGATTGGCTTCGGTGGGGTGGGTTGGGGAGGGGAGGGGGGAGGAGGGGCGCGGCACCTCGCGGTGTTCTTCCACCCAGACTGGCCACCGAAATAGTGCGGGGAGGGGAGCATCCAGGAGGAACCGGGAGAGAGAAAAAGAGAGAGAGAGAAAGAGGGAAAGCAGATGCAGCCGCTTGCAAAAAATGGACTGGCACGCCAAGGATCTGGATTCCTTCCCAGCGAAGCCAAGGGACCCTGGGCATCCTTCGCAAATGGCCCTTTCCAAATCACAATATCTTTTGCACGGTGCAAAAAAAAAAAAAAGCATGCAAAAAAACCTGGAAGCCCTGCTGGGGTTTTCCCAGTTGCATGAAGGGCCTAAGGAAATGTGGAATGTTGCAATTCATGATATACACTGACTTGGGAAATTAAGTTAAAGGAGGGAGAAAAAAAGGAGAGTTGAAGACAAATAGATTTCACGAGATATGGGCTGAATTTATGAATGCTGGATTGAGTAAAAGGGAAAAGGAGGGAAAGCCGAGCCAAGATTAAAAACAGTATTTCTGGAAGGGATATGGAGACAGTTAAATGATGAAGTATAAGCAGTAAAAAAAATTAAGTAAAATATATAATGGTCCCCAGGGGGAAAGCACTAAGGTTTGTGTTCTGCTTTTTTTTGGTACTTAATTTGTGTGACTAGAATGTTAATTTTATGTTATGTTTTATGAATGTGTTTAGTTGTAATCATCATCATCATCCCACACTTGCAAAGCAGCGTGCTAAAAGAAAATTCAGGGTTTTTTTAAAGGAAATTGCTTAGGAATATTCTAGGACACCTTATTTAAAAAGTGGGAGGAGTTCAAGGGTGAAAAGAGATAAATAAATAAATGAATAAATAAATGAATGAATGAATGAATGAATAAATAAATAAATAAATAGAAATAAACCTAGTTTTTAAACAATTTGGGGTGTTTATAGGTGTGTCCCCAGTGCCACACTAGTACGTACTAGGTTATGACCACCATTTTAAAATATGTATGTGTGTTTATATTTGTTTTAACATGTCGACGTATCAGAACTCAAGACAGGAATCTCACAAGGTAGAACAATAACAAATTGTAAGAGTTCTCTAGTGTAGATCAGAGGGTTGGGCTGAGTTGGGTTGTTGTTGTCTGTCTTGTCTCTGTTGTTGAACGATCGCAACTTTTGAGGTCAACAGATGGGGGAGTGTTAAGAATCCCAGCAGCTGAAAGATCAGAGTTGATTCCTTCTTGCTCAAGATGTTCAGGGACTCAAAAAGCAAAATAAATCAAGTCCCACAGGCCTTGCAAAATGTCAAAGCCCGCCCCCCCCAGCAAGCAGCAGAATTTGTACACCCCAGCCAAGAGGGGAGAGATTTTTTTTTAACTAGGACTTCAGGTCCCAGAAGCTTGCACCCTGACTGGAGGATCTGGGAGTTGTAGTTTAATGAATCATAATTCCTATCTCTTGTCCTAGGTTTCTAAGGACAAGGAAATATACCCAAGACTCAGGAGACCTGGGTTCAATTCCCTGGCTCTTGTCATGGAAACTCACTGAAGGACAGCAGGATTGGTAAAAACACTTACTTTGAAAATGTGATTAGGGTCGCTGTAAACTACCAGCTTGATGGCACAGAACAATTAATCTCTTAGTCCAGCTATCAGGCCTACACCCTACAAGTGTACTGAAAATTATTTGTACACCAGGATCCAGATGTGGTTGTTTGCTATTTGGCATACACTGTATACTGCATGAAATGAAATTCATATGACACTATTATTGCTGAGAATATACATCAGAAAGCAGGATGCACACACTTACACAGGGCACGAGTTGGTCTTTGGAACACACTGCCACAAGATATGTTTGAAGGACAAACTTCAACTGGGCCTCCTTGGCTGGGGCTAGACTCCATGATCTGTAGGGTCCTTCCAGCCCTGCAGTTCTGATGATGATCGTTCATGAACTGCTGGACAGCTCAATGGTTAAGGTCTCTGGCTGCGGAGCCAGACGTTGGGAGTTCAATTCCCCCACTGGGCCCTTTGAGTTCTACAGTTATAAGATAACGGTCGTGGTCGTGCATTAAAACCTTATGTTTAGGTTCGGCCTTACCAGCTGCATCTTCCTGTAGGCAGATCAGATCCCAGGGAAAATAGCTTTCAAATATGCTGCACCGGTAAGTAGTAACTGCCAGTATTTGCTAGTGTGCAAAGCATGCCCCTCTTGTACTGGTCAGCCAGGGGGGCAGTTTGTCGGGACAAGCTGAACTGGCCCAAGAAAGCAGTCCTTGTTGAAGGGTCAGGAGAAGGTGTAAGCAACCAGTCAGGAAAAGAAGGTGTCTCTGTGGGATATATTGGCAAGAGCAGTAACATCTCAATTGCAGATAACAGAGAAACAATAGATGAACACGTCTCACACAGCCTTTCTTGGAATTTTGTCCTTTTCCAGAAAGCCACCCTTGAGAAAAATCAGTTGAGCAGCTTTGTCACGGAGGCTCCCTAGCAGTATAACTTATGAAAAGGAGGAACAGAAAGGTATTTGAGGTTGAATTAATTGGAAGGGGGGGAAAGCAGTTGTTTTTTTGCAGGTAAATGCTTCCCTGTAACCTCCTTTTGTCTAAATGACTAGAAAACACTTCAGATGAAAACGCCCCTTTTGTTGCAACTTGCAATATAATTTGACTGCCATGATTAACTGTTCTTTCTGCTTAAAAGGAGGCTTAAAAGGCAGGTAATTGTTTGCTTTTTGACTGTGCAAGGAATCCTCTGAACTGCAATATGGCATATCAGAGGGAAGAGGAACGCGCAAGCGAGAACCAATTTATTGCATCTTTTTAAATAGTGGAGGCGAAAACACAAATTCAGTCTTGGCACAAGATCTTTAGACATTTTGAACGTTTATCTCTTGTTCTTATAGAGAGATGGATGGATGGATGGATGGATGGATGGATGGATGGATGGATGGATGGATGGATGGATGGATGGATGGATGGATGGATGGATGGATGGATGGATGGATGGATGGTATCCTCCAGATGAGTTGGACAGCAACACACATCTCCCAGGTGAAGGGGGAGCTTGATATAACAGATGTTGGCAGGTTTTAGACCATACACTTACGTGGATGCAAAATGGGTCAAAATTAAAATTCTGCTTGCGGTGCTAACCCTGTACCCGCACACAGAAAATAGCAATCCCTGTTTCAGTCATCAGGTTTTAGATCCACACATTTGCATCCTTAATCAACTTGAGCAGGCAAATCCCTAATACTTTTTTCCCCTCTTCCTGTAGCTGTACAGCTATTCTGTCAAACCAAAGTTTCATTCCTCTCGCACATAAAGAAAGTCTCATGTTATGGTTAAGGAGCTGGTATGGAGGAAGAAAAAGTGGCCCAATGCCGTTGATCTAGTTGGACAAAGTTTGGATGTAGAAGAATAACCTAATTATTGGATATACACTAATTTATTGGCAAGATTTGTGGTTGAAACCTGACATGGACTCCTAAGCCACCCATCAGAGTCTCTCTAGATGCCTTTCACCTTGTTGTTTCCTACATGCGCAAGTTTAGAAATGAGGAAGAGAAAGAAAATGTTGAACCATCTACCTCTCCTTGATCTGTGCCATCCTACTGAGCTTAAATCAGCAATTTCTAACCTTGAGTAGCCCTGGTGTTCTTAGACTGCTACTCCCAGAAGCTGTACTGGCCTGGGAGCTGCAGTCCGAGAACCCCTGGGTTACCCAAACTTGGGAACTACAGCTCAGAAAACAGAGTATCTCTCCACCAGATGTAGACTTTCACATCCTGTCTAATGTTGGGTGTGTCATTCCTGGGGACCTCATATCAGCTTCTCTTCTACATCACTGTGAAATTCCTGCCTCGCAAGGCATGGATTCGGAGTCAAAAAGAATCAACTCATTGTCTGCCTTTGCTCACAGTAGATCTCAACCTTAGGTCTCCAGATGTTCTTGAACTACAACTCCCAGAAATCCTTGCTAGCACCGCTTTTGGTGTTTTAGTCCATGAACATCTGGGGACCCAAGGTTGGAAACCATTGCCTTAGAGGGATGACAGTCCCCTTGGAATTCAAGAGAGTGAAGGATACAGAGCTACTGATTGTCACTAGCTAGATGGATCAGAGATCTGCCTTGGTGTAGAGCAACTTTATGTGTTCCCGAGAAATAACAAAAACATGACTTTTGATTTTTGTATCATACGTTTCAAGGACTGCAGCTCACAAGTTACAATGTAGTTCCCCTTTGTAACTATGACATTGGAGTGTCAGGATAATCCAAAGGAAGATCCGACATGAAACAGCTGGAAGAAATGAAAGACCATACTGCATTATATTCCCTTGCATGGTTGAGATAACTTCCTATTGGTATCAAAACTGGCATGTGAGTTAACAGACCTTATCACAGAGAACATGATGCAAAGGGACAGAAATCAAGCTTTCTGCTTGACAGGTGTGATATACCTCTGATCACTGCAAAGGGAAGGCAAATATCATACCCCATTTGTCAAGCTAACTTCATGGTTTGAGCAACTGTATTAAGAGAGCTGGATCTTCTAACTGGTATATTTCAGCTGACCCCATAAACAAGGCCGTCTCTTCCTAAAGACATCATCTACCTCTGAAAAAGCCAACCCTTTTGAAGACTCCCAGTCCTCTGAAGGAGATCCAGACAGAATCAATCATGAATTAATCGCTTTCTACCAACTGGGCCTTTTATAATTCTAATCTCTCTACATTTATGGGAAGGCATCCCGGTGTAAGAGGATAATACGCCGAGGACCTCCAAAAGCCTCCGGGTATGTCCTTCAGTTCTCCTTGGTCTGATCGTTTTCCAAGGGGGTTGGTGGAAAATTAATGTATATCCATAAATCTGGAATCAAATCAGCTGCAAGCGGTGTTGGGTTTATAAGGAATCATCACTTTATGAGCAGGATGGCTAGACTTGACCAAGGCTCCCGTTGGCTTGGGTAGCACAGGT